ATACATAATAATACAAATCCCTTTCCAAAAAAGAGATTTTAATAGCGCGAAGTCGTTAATATCGAACAGTTGAGGCCTCTTTTCCGCGATGTCGATTGGTTTCTCGAAGCACGGTGTGCTTCACTTTTCTTTTAGATTCATAGTAAATGAAGGTTTGCAATTTAGAAATATACATTTGTACATGCCAACTATTGAGGTAAAATCTCTAATCTTAGTAATTAGAATTTAAGTAACGATTTTTGTTTCAAAACATTTTCTCGATTGAACAGAATTAATCGTTAATTTAATCAATACCAATAAGTCCGCAGAATGATACGCAAAACGTAGTAACAGTTACGGAAAAAAGTAAAGTATTCAGTACAGAATTTTCAATTTCGTAGGCAGGACAACGAACTCCCTATGTTTGTTGTTTTTCTTGCCGCGCGATATCGTGCGACGTTACGCGGGCCTTTGTTTACGTGAAGGTCGCTCCGCTATCACTCGCTTGCCGAACGTCGAGCCGGCAAGTAGTGGCGAGAGTCGCTCCGTGCGTGGTATTACTTTTGCGTTATCGGTCTCCAAGACTTGATCGCGATGAATGCAGGGATAAAACACTATTGATTTGCACCTTTATCAGTAACAAGTAACGTTCCTTGATTAATTATGAAGTTCCTACAACTTATAATGAGAAACGAATTGCGTGTCGAGGCGACGGCTCTTTATTAACGTATACATACATATTTCGCGAGACTAACTCATCTAAAACATGAATGTAAATCGTGGTACTTTGTCGCGGTTACATCTCGTTTACGCACCGCGCTTTTAATTATCTATTGATTTCGTGTAATCTATTCTATTCTTGGGAAAAGAGAGAAATTTGTACGACTTCAACATTCGCGCTGTAATTCGCTCTGTCGTTCTTCACAACTCGAACGGGCAGAAAGTAAAGAAAGTCGCTTATCGCACGTCTTTACATTATGTAAATGTAATCGAAAATTATCTCGATTAACTGTTGCAATTAATAACAATTATTTATCGCTGGAAATTTCGCTCACATAATTTATTTCGAGGATTAGATTGAATGACAAAGATTGTAAAATATCGTTTCGTTGTGGACTAATAACTATTTCTTTATCGCAGATTATGCTTCCGATGCTCGCGTTGTGTTTTATATCGTCAATTCAAAAGTGATTTATCCATTCTTCCGAATCAAAAATGTAAGTTATTAGTTTGAATAATTTGTACGACAGAAAGTCACGCGATATTTGTTAATAATATTTCGTGCGTTTCGCGGTATTTCACATCGCGTACGGGAGTGCCCGAAATTTCGCGCGATCGATGATTTTCGCGAGTGAGTGTTGTGTAAGTGCCACAAGGAAATCTGAGAGGAGGAGGAGGCCCAGGAGGCATCGGGCAACAGCGGAGAAATCGGTGAGGTGAGTGTCTTACATTTTTATGCTACTTGCTACTTGTGCAAAATTAAGTATATGTTATATGTTTTTATTTTATTTATTCAAATGATTCGAACGAGGATTCAAATAAGTATTAGAGACAAAACCATACGTATAAAATTTTGTGAGTGATATTTAAAAGGAAGACTTTCAGTATTCTACGAGTATATAATTATTTTAATAAATACCTATTAAAAAAATATAAAATATAAAGTATATTTAATACAATAATTTCGAGTTTACATAATTAATTTATACTAATCATATACATATTTGTATTTTTACAGTTTACCATATATAGTTAACGATGTACAACTCTGCTGTTGCGAATCCTATCAGTGAGTGATAAATTACTTTTTATTTTAAATTGACGTTACGCATACAATTACTTCTTTGCATATATACAGATTCTTAAAAATATACAATGCTCAACCACAAACTGTGCATTGTATTTAACATTTCTAGTAAACTATAAAAGTGAGATGAGGAAACAATATACATATTACAAACATAATTGTATCATTATTTTAAAATAATATTGCTACAACATTATTAAAATAATATTGTAAAATAATGTCTCTGCAATATCTATGTAACATTACACTGCAATATGCAATATGCAATATTGCAGCAATGTTGTTGCAAGCTTTTGTGTTGTATGGGATATTGGTCAATTTGATTTCCGAGTTGAATAGTCAAGTTTTCTCTACTCGTCGTCAGTTTTTTGCTACAATCTTCGTCTCCTCTTTCTTTGCAAAAAAGTGCACGCGCGTAAAACACGTTCGAAACGCGTGGTTCCAATTCCCGCGCTTGGAGAATTGCCGCGCGAGAAATTTCGAATTGCGATCAACAACGGAGTGTCATGGCGGCGTGCGGAGTCGCGTTCGGGTCGCTTCGCATATCTCTGTTCGTCGACAAAATATCACGAGTTTCGCGCGTGCGAAGTCCCGTCCGTCGAGATTCTCGGCGATGCGGCGCTTATATCAACGCGTATAATATTCGACGACATTTTGGTCTCCCGTCGAGATCTATCGAGATCCACCGCCCCTTCTTCATGTCGAGACGCGTCGTAAGTTCAATCGCAGCTCGATCGCGCATCGTGCGTGTCGTCATTTTCCGTAACTGTCGATTACGCGTCCGTCGACGATATTTCGGTTTAACAGCCAGGCATTCGAAGCAGCCACTTCGGTTTCGCGCGTTTCGCGCCGTGAGGAGAGAAGTGATCGTGACGCGCGCGAAAAAGGTAGGAGCCATATATCGTAATACGCAGCATTTCGGTCGATTGTTTCGACTTTTTGATTCTCTCGTGGATGAAGATGAAAAATATTGTATGAGAATCGTTAAGAGCCAACGTGTCCTATGTCTTGAAAATCGAAATTCTCTTCTCCCTCTCTTTCTCTCTCTCTCTGTAATTAGTATTTTACATCCTAGGGGGGTGTTGTAATTACTCAATTGTAATCTGCAATATCTTCCTATATATCATCTTTGTTCTTATATTCTATACATTTTTCTATATTCAAATTTGTTATTATACATTTTTCTATACTTAAATTGTTCATTATACAAAAGCTCATTCCCACTCGTAACATCTTTAGAGGACTTGTCCCAGAGCGTTTAATAAATAAAGATTCTATTCTGTTCTCTCTTTCTCTCTCTCTCTCGCTGCAAGGAAGATCGTTTCCGAAATCGTCGTTTTATTTGCGATAAGATTTTTATCGGAAAGCTAACAGTACGAGCGGTCGTCAAAAAGAGGTGTTAATGCGAGAGACCGCAAATCTTCTGTGTGTACCCGGGGATCTGCTTTACGCTACCGCGTGACGTCACGCGAGCGAGAGGTCGCGTAGAAAAATGCGAGCGCCTAGTTAAAGCTAACCGCCGCTCCGCGCCGCGCCGGTTACGCGCGACACGCATATTTAATTCGAGAAACTGGTTCTCGCGCGAGAGACGTATGCGTGACCGGCGAACCTGAAACGAATCCACGAGGAGTGCGAGCTGTTCCGACGAGCGTGCTTGAAACACGGGCGAGGCGCCGGGAC